GAGAGAAATATCATATAAGTCGTCTTCACTATTCGTAATATCCCCCAATGATTTGCTACTAGCATTTTTTCCGATCCATCCTGGTTTTGAATTTTCCATAGAACCTAAGTCATTCAATTTATTACTCGGGCTCATTAATTTCCTTAGCCAGCTCCTTCCTGGAGAAGTACCACTATTGGATAATTCTTTTCTGTCATTTGCCCTCAAGTTATTAAATAGCGTAGGTAAATTGGATTGTATTGGCAATGAGCTCGAACGTTTAAAATTACCATAAAAAGAATGGTTTGAGATATCAGAAGGACTAATAGAATCCGACAATTCTAATAAATCAGAATTTTCATCAACTGAATGATCATTCTTAGATGAAAGCATATTGTATCATCATATCTAACAGATATCAATGTTGTCTTAGAAGGCCTTAATGCATTGCACCAAGAAATTCAAGTCTAGTATCACGCACTAAAAATTGTCGCAGATATGATTTGAGAAAAACGGTTGAGTTTCATACTAATACGTATTATTGTCTATAATCTATATATTATAATTCCACCGTGTCATCTAACCTGACATCCATAGAGCATTCTTTTTGTAAATATCTCTTAACGTCGTTAACTTCATATTCACCTCTGTGAAATAAACCAGCTCCTAAAGCAGCGTCAATTCCACAGTCCATGTCAAAAACTTCTTGGAAATGTTCAGGCTTTCCAGCACCGGAACTAGCTATAACAGGGATTGAAACTTTTTCTTTAACTTGCCTTAATAATTCCAAATTAAAGCCTTTATTAGAACCATCATGATCAATTGAATTCAATAAAATTTCACCAGCACCTAAATCTTCACAGGCAAGACATAACTCAAGCGCACCTAATTCGTGAGTTACTCTTCCACCTTGAGAAGTCACTTGATAATAGCAATATTTTTCGCCTGCTTGACCATACTTCAGAGGATCTTGAATATGAATCGTTTCCATCGTGGTTTCAGATGGGGACAGAACGTATTTACGCTTTGGGTCAACAGAAATAACCACTGCCTGGCTACCAAAAGTAGCAGAAATTGTTTCAATCGAAGTAGTTCCCTTCTTTTGTTTGTTGTTTGCATAATAGTTCTCGGCAATTGTGACTGCGTCAGAGCCAATACTCACTTTATCAGCACCAGATCTAAAATACAAACTAGCTACCTTGGCAGCTGGTACTTTTTCTCCAGAGACTGGGTCAACTAAATCCTTAATTCCACCACCCACTGTTAAGGGTACAAAGATTGTTTCTGCTGCTGTGCTCAAGACTTTTAACATGGGTAAATCCTTCAAAGGTGAATTACGAAATGAAGTTATATTCAAGAACGTAACCTCATCAGCCCCTTGATTGTAATATCTCGTTGCTAATTCGACAGGTTTTCCTAAGTTTCTTACCTTACTTTCATCAGAATCTCCGGACGATTCACGAACATTATATTGATCACCTTTCGTGACAACCAAATCTCCGTCATCATTACTTCTAACATCAAGGCAGGCAATAATTCTTCTAGTTAATCCACTCAAGGTATTTTCAATGTTATCAACCGGTTGAGCATCAGATGTAGTAACGTCACTAAACCTTGAGCCTTCCAAGAAGCTTTTAATAACTTTCAAACCTGCAACGCCAGATTTTTCTGGGTGAAACTGCGTAGCGAAGAAGTTCTTATACGATACTGCTGCTAAGAAGATTTCTGACCCATATCTTGCAAATGCAATATCCCAACCATTTGAAATGGCATCGCTGATCACCTTTTCTTGTTGTTCATCTTTTAGTATAGCCGCGTATGAATGGACAAAATAGTATTTATTAACTGTATTGATTCCAAAAAACGACTTCGTCTTCGAAAGAGTGGTATTCTTAGCCTTAATCGTATTGACACTATTCCAGCCGATATGCGGAACCGCTTTCAATTGTTTTCTTTGATTAAAGACTGGATCTGACTTATTGAATTTGGATAAGCCTAATTTCAAATATCCCAATCCCTGATATTCCGAATTATCACTCTCTTCACTACTTTCGAAAAATGCTTGTAATCCGACACAAATACCCATAAGAGCCCTACCACTCTCGATATACTTAGTAATTGGACCCACTAACTCTCTATCGTGTAATTGTTTGATAAAATGAGCATAGTTACCCACACCTGGGAATATTAATTTTTCAATACTATCATTGTAGTCGGCGAATTCTTTTGCATCATGAATAAACTTAACATCATAACCCCCTATGCGTTTTATGGCATTGAATAAGGATTGCAAATTGCCACTCTCAACATCTATAACATATACTGTCTTCATATCTATACGTTTAACTTACTTTAAGTACTTGAGTAGAGTAATTAATTAAAACAAATTTATTCTGTTTCTCTGATATGACTCAATAAAAAATTTTATGCACTACCAGAAACTACATTTTCATATTATTATTCATATTATTACAGTTGGGTTAAAAAATAGAATCCAGTCTATTTCTTGTGGGCCCTTATATATATATAGTAATACATTCCATCTTCGTTAATATCACGCAGGCTCATCTCATCAACATTGGTGAATTTTGCTGAGTATTCATCTAAACGACCGAACATTTCAAAAAGTTGAAAGCATATGTGCTTCGCCAAGAAACAGTTTAATTCACCAATACTATTCAAAAGTGATACATGGTATTTAACATTTTCTTTACCAAAAATATTGGATAATTCTTTTAATACGGTTTGCAAAAATTCTGGAATCATATTAAATTGCTCGAGTAGATTCAAATTCATGAAACCCTCATCTTTGGAAAAATCGTGCTGTTGCAGGAACGATTCCATTACTTTGTTACGACTAAGCTGTATAAATGGGATTTCAAGCACCCCATCTTTTTGCAATATCCTGTAGAATTCTGTTAATATTATCGAGTAATTTTTGGGTGTCAATTGAAGTGCTAAGTCTCTCGATTGAATAAGATGAAAAGTCTCACTGGAAATAGTTGCTAGGGATTCTGTATAGTATTCAAAATTCATAGGTTTGTGACTAGTGTTAGATAACCCACCATCTGTTTCTATTTTTTTGGAATTGTTCAATTTTTGTGATGATTTATCAATTGACTTATGTAACGCAACCAATTTTTCTGGGGTTAAGGACCGGTATTTCAAATAATCATCTAGTCCTAATTTCTTGAAGTAGTTTTCATGAAGGTCCACATCCAGATCCTTGAACGAAACTTTTTTGGTATCATTGAGATTTCTATAGTAATTATCATAGTTATTAACAAGTTCAAAATCCTCCGAATACGAATTCATTTCAAATACCCGTATAAATGGAGCAGTTATCGATAAATACCACGAATACTGAGAACTGAAATATGCATTATAATGCAAAACTTTTATTGATTCATTATTGTTTGATTTCATTTTATTATTGAATTTATCGAATAAAACCTTTAAGTTTCTACTTTGAATCAACGAGTTATCGCCGAGTTTTGAAAAAATATGAAGAAGATATTTTTCAAGTAAAATATACTCGTAAGAAACTTTTCTGATTGTTTGTAGAATATAAGCCTTGCTGGATTCTGGATTTTCATCGCCTCCAACTTCCTTATTCATTAAATATAATACATGCCCGATTTTTTTAAACAAGTCTTTATATTTATAATGTGTGCGCTGAAACGAGTCTAATTGTTCCAAAGGAATTGGCTTTTCATCGGGCATATTAAGAACAAACCTAACGTAATTAGATAGATTTAATTGTACCAATTCTTCACAGTTTATAATCATGGATTTATTTTTAACCTTTGCGCTGTCTCGTCTGATTAATTGTCGAAATATCGTTCTAGAACGTAACAATTCTGTCCCTAACAAAGTTTCATAGAATCTTAAATCATGCTGCTTAATATCCACGTTTTCCGGTATAAGTTTACCCACTTTATAACTAGCTATGAAATTTATTAGGGAATGATTTCTCACGCTTGCAAAACTAATGGGATCATTCTGATGATGATCACTTAAAATATTTAAAAAATTACGATATTTCAAAACTTGAAAAGTAGGTAAAACCATATGCTCTTTCATCGTCTCGTACGAATTCACTATCGAAAGGTCTATAATCGGCTTAAAATCAATCGCATCTATTTTTTTCTTCTTATTGATATTTTCAATAATGTTACGGCCGTGAGAAACGTTCCGCTGTAAGTCTGAATTGTCTAATTTACGGCTTATGTAGTCTAAGTCCATATAGTATGCGTTTGCTGCATTAACATTAGGTTGATTGTTTGAAGGTGATTGCTGTACAGACGGAGACCCCGACCGGGAATGCGTCGCCTTCAAATTAGACACCGTCGAAGAGTTTGACCGATTCAGCATCGGAGAAGACCGTCCGTTAGAATGTGCCCCTGTACTCTCGGTCTTACTCTTCCTGCTTGTTCTCGGAGAAACCGGTGTATGTGACCCTTGACTTTCATTATTCTTGTTCTTTTTTTGTATGCGTGATAGCGAAAGCGACGACGTCGATTTTTTTAACCCCAACAAACTTTTAGATAATTCATCCGCATTCACTGCCCCGTTTTTGTTCTTGTTTTCAGGTGTGTAATCTGAATAGCTAGATACACTGCTGTTTGAAGATTTCGCCGTCCGTAGTTGGGGCCTCTGATTACCGGGGATCTTTATCTTGGTCGCAATACTTGATTTCTTGGGTATCTTCTCATTCGAATTCTGTTTGGAATTCTTGTCTGATTTTGATGCTGGAGGAGGTACCAAATGAAAACTCATATTTAGCCGTAAGTCACTATATACCACTAAAGTTTACTTCATGGTGTTCTTTATCGGACAGAGCAGGCAACGAATGTGTGATGTCGCGGCATGTGAATGTCGTAATGGATGAAATGTCGTATCTACAAAAGTCGTGTGTTAATATCAAAAATGGAACAATTGCAACTACAACTTTTTTTATTATCCATTACAGCAACCAAGATTTATTTTACTCTTCTTCAATTAAAGTAAGGAAATTGAAAATGTATGTCAAAGAAATTAATGAAAAGGTAACCAAGAGACTCTATTATCCTAATAGGTATGGTAATGGTGGTAGCACTGGCTGGGGTTCGTATAGATGGTTATTATGGTTGTTAGTTCTTATTCCACTACTCATCGTGGTAGTCTTGTTTTGCGTGAGAAAGAGGAAGAATAAGGGTAGAGTTCATGTTATGGATAATAACCAGTATTATCAAACCCAACAAGCAGGAGGTTACTATAATCAAGGACAAGGATATCCAAACCAGTATGATAACCAATACCCACCAGCAAACCCAGATGCTGGTGGATATGGTGGATATAACCAACAGCCAGGATATAGTGGCCAGCAAGGATATACGGAACAACCGGGATACAATGGAACCAAGATTGATGATGTTAATCCGGATGAGTTCCAGAGGCCTGACGGACCACCTCCAGCGCATTATAAGTCGTAGATAATTTGTACATTTCACACTCGCTTAAAGTATAAGATAATTTTTTAGTTTACAGATAATTAGATGCCGTAACGGAAATTTTTGTAGCAACATCCATAAACAGCAAAACGAGTCATGCGAATGAACAATTCAGCCATGTTGAATCATATGCCTCACTGAGAATACGAGGGGGCTTATCTTCGGGCATCTATTTTATTTACAATAGCTGTGCCCGCTATTACATTATGTCATCTACGTATTCGACAGGGGGTTAAGCTGGGGATTAGATTGAAAAGTCAGTTTCGTGGTGCCATTCTTCATCGACCGAAACTTGCATTGAAGTTGCACCTTTTTTCCCTATTCTTTGAATTTTGAGTTATTAGACTTAAACGCAATAATCCATAATAAGTAAAAATTGCACTTTTTCTTTATAACGTTATGGAAGACTTGATACTTGCTATAATCATCCTGGTATTAAACCTTCTAAATTTTGTCAAGATTAAAAATCGATACAATATTGCAATCAACTGCAATAAAAGCTACAACATATCCCCATAGAACATTATATACAGAAACAATAACAATATTATATAAATGCACGGCTGAAATGCAGCCTTGGTGAGTGTGAATAACCAACTCTAGCAAATTAAAGATCGAAGTTTAAATTTATTAAATATTCACCTGTATTCTTAATGCTGGTTATTTCAAATATTTGCTAAATATGTAGATTTATAAAATAGAAATGATAAGAAAGCAAAATAAGCTCAACTATGATTATTCACATTCTCTCAAAAGTCGTTTGCAGTAATATTAATTCATTCGCAGAGGTATAAATTATTAAAATACAGTAAAATGTAGAGCATTTAAATCGAAAATTACCCATTTATTAAATATACAAAATAGAATTACATAAAATGCCTTAAATAGAATCATTATCTTTCGGAGATATAACTGCATCATGATTTCCTTTCTCATTGTCATAACCATCAATTATATTCGACTTACCGTAGACAATATCGTCATCATTAATATTTGGTCTAGGGCCTTTATACCATTTATGGGCATCGATAACGAACCATAACAATGACAAAAACATAGGTCCGAAATAAACAATCACAGTCCAGTTCATTTGATCGAGAGTTAAATCGTCACCTCTCACTGTGGGGAAACATAATATCGGGATCATTACTGTTACAAATACCACTGACACGAAACCAATAGGCCTTGACCATCTACCCAAATGCCAAGGACCTCTCTTGAAAGACTTGTTAGCATAAGTGATTTTTAATAAAGTTGGCATGGTGAAAGAAACAAAGCCTGCAATGCCACCTACGGAAAAGATGGCGCCTATAGCGGTATCGCCCGCAAATTGGAGTAATAACAAGAGTTGACCGATAAATAAGTTAACCCATACTGCATTAATGGGTGTTTGTGTTCTCTTATTGACAATTTTCCAATATCGAGATAACGGAAAAAATCCATCTCTGGCATAGGCATAGGTAACTCTGGACGCTGCTAACATACATGAGCAACCCATGAAAAAAGAAGATATGATTGTTAATGCTGTGGCTGCATTGACAGCTTTCTTGTTCAATATTTGAGTTAAATAAGTAACAAAAGGTTGTCCTAGACCCTGTGGATCTTCTGCGATCTGATCAATGCTAACCAACGTATATGCAATAGCTATCATGAATAAGAATCCGATAGCACCACCACAAGTTGCTGTAAGTACGATGGCTCTTGGAGCGGCCACGTTAGCATTGGAACATTCTTCTGATAAATGGAATGGAGAATCATACCCTGACATAGCCCAAATTACACCCAAGAAAGATTGTAAGACTGCAATGCCCATTGGCCAGTCGGTCTGGTTATAGAACTTCCAAGCGGTATCATTTGAATTGAATTTCGTAATTTCGTCAAAATTATCTTGACGATTATTGCCTCCCAAAATCATTACAAATACAATAATCAAGAATAATATGTTGGTAATCGTCCCCATAGAATTAAACGTGGCCAACCATCTAGTAGGCATGGAAGAGATAATCCCATGAACTATTTGAATTCCAGTAGTTAAGCCATATATTTCCCCATAGGACGGGCTATACCCATCGTTAGAATTATAACTCTTTAATGCCAAAATCAACCAAGCACAACTATTATTAACAGATGGTGCCGCAGTGATTTGACACAACCAGTTACTGCAACAGGTTAGCCACGTTAATACAGGCGCCCATCTTGGGGGTGCTAACTGTGATACCGCATACGGCGTTCCCAGCGAAGTAGGAAATGCACTGGCAACTTCGGCCATGGATAATGCAACTGATGAAATAAAAATAATCGCCAAAATCCATGGAACTGGCGACATCCCCACCACCAACTGTTGGTAGTCAAAACAAGCTGCGATAGATGGAAGTAACCCCAATACACTAAATGAGACCGCAAATAGTGTCCAGAGAGAGAACTCACGCTTGAACTCTTGTTTGTATCCTAATGCTAATATTAATGCTTCATCCTTATCGATCTCATGGTCCACGTTAATCGTGATATTCTGATTAGATAGTATCGATGTAATATGCAAATCATCCACAAGTATATTTGACACCACAGGATGTATCTTGTTGGGACTTTTAATGTTTTCTTCCATTTCACTGTTATATTGTACTTTGAGCTTAATAATTTAATTTAAGGATATTACTTTAGTTATCAACTTGTGTAATCATCTATTTGCAACTAATAATAACATATAGAAGTAGGTATAATATATACTAATATGTAATGGTATAATAATTAAAATATTTCAATTAGGCTTATAATGTCTAAATATATATAGACACCTACTGTACGCAATCAGCTTCCTATTATCATTGTTTCTTATCAAAAGTAATACCATCAATTTTTCACTGATAAGCCTAAAACAAATAAAAAGGGGAGTCGTGTACATAAACTGATCTCCATTTCTCGATGATAGCGGAATCTCGTTTAGAATGTCTGCATTTGGTAATAATGCATTAGCGGACTACTACATCGAGAAATACAACGAGTCTTGATATCTCCAACCTTTCGATTTGAAGCTTAACACTTTTATTTCTACTATCAATATTCTGGACAAAGCTCATTTATTAGATTATTTTTTGTTCTATATGAGAATGAATAGTAGGGGCAATAATGGCAAATTCAATAGATGAAATGTGAATGGATGATTAATAGGATAAACCCAGTCAGTATCAAGCGTAATACTCTGCCAAACAATATACAAATATTTAAACTTTAATTATGTTAGATTTGAAGCCGATTTTTGAAATACTCCGTTGAATCCGCACGAATACTTATCATACCATGTGAAAGGAAAACTTGGAGATCGCATCTCATTCTGAGGTGGCCTTGACTCAATGTTACGATCCTCTAAGTCGAGAAATTAAATCAATTTGTCGTATATTGATTTCTTTCAAACTCTCTTTGCACAAATCAAACCAAACCCACAAAGCAATGTAGAAAGCAATATAAGTTTAGCTCTAATAAACAATTTAATATCACCTTCATAGCCATTCATAACCATCATCTTTATTTGAGACATTATCTAAGTTATCAGAGAACGATACAGGGTCAAAATCCCTGATGGTTGAGAAATTGTCGACTGTAAATTGATGATCATGATCAAGTGCAACATGGTACAATTTTTGGTCGAATTCATCAAGGCCCATGTGTTCTTTGTACCAATGTGCAAATTTTGTGAAGCTACTTCTACTCCTGATAAATGCAAAATCAAATATAAGATTCAAACAAGCATAAACAAACAATATTTTAGTAGCAAATGGTTGCTTATTTTTCACTAAACTATAATACTGATCCAGGACAAATAGAATCCAGGAGAACATTGCAATAGGGAAGTTAGAGACGTCTGCTTGGTATAAACAATTATTCAATGCATCAATAGTAGCTTTTAACGTCTCATATTCTAATGCTGATATCAGATCAATCTCTACTGTATGACTAACATCATAAAAATATTCGTCTAACTTATGAAATAATATTCTTGTTATACAATACCTGTCTCTCGAAACCCTTGTAGTCCTATATTTTGAGTGCCTGGCAAATAGCCCACCAAATTCAGTATCCACAAGGTTTCCTTTTGCAGATGCCATAATATTACCAATATTTCTACTCAAAGATATGAAATCAACTTGGGTGTCATCATTGAATACTACTATAGGAAGAACTCCATCAGGATGAAGACACATATAGGAAAATATTAAAATACTAGTAATCGTTAATTCCGCAGCTTCATTGGCACTTCCAAACGTTCGAAATTGTACATCGGGTCCCTCATAATGTCTACTAATTGCTCGCTGATTCTCTCTTAAGGTGGAAATAAAATACTCTGTGGTTACCTCAAATAAACTAGACTGAGTCAACGAATCCGTCGCTCCCGCCGATATACCATTATTTGTAACTCCCGAAGCAATTCCGTTTCGCCCCAGTAGTACCTCTTCGTCATACTTTAGCAACTTTGAAATTTTATCTAGGCACAATGACTCATCTATGTTGTAAAATGGCCACAAGGTTAAAGCAGAAAACAGGTATATGGCATTCCTTACCAACAGTGATTGCGAAAAAATTTTCGGAACAGAATGAGTCCATACGTATTCGATATCTTTGTCCACCCCACAAAAGCTAAAAAACTGTGTACATTGTTCGTGGAAAAACTTAAGCAAATGTAACTCCAATAGGTTAATCTGTAATAACTTTGTAGTAGAATTGAGCCTCATCTCCCCTATCAAATTCTTATCATAGTTTCTTCTTCTCCGCGTCCTCCTCAGATCTACCCCAAACTTCGTCTGCGTGATTTCAATATCTGGGTATTGGCATTGACGCCTTGTGGATTCACAATACTCACAAGATGGTTTAGCTTCATTGCACTAAATATAGTTAGCGAACAATTCTATGGATATCTTAATAAAATACTTACCTTAATTTTCAATTTCTTGCAACTTAAGCATCCTCTTCTTGATCTTGTAATCATA